ATTTGTTAGATATGCATATATTCCTGTTGGCTGTACCCTTGTGCTGGCCCTGAGATCTTGCTTTGAGGTAATTAGATGATGGTGTAGCTATATGATCCTGTGAGATAACTAGCCACACTGACTTGTAAACTCTAAATACACAGTCTTATGTTTTGTGAATAACATGAATATAATACATTAAAAACACACATGCCAGAACCACATGAAAAAAAAGGGCACTTTTCCCTCCTGCCCAGGCCTTCGGTGTTCAGATACAGAACATCTACACCGGCATGGGAATCGTCTCCTGTGAGATTCCCCATCTCTTCCAACACACACATGTTTCGGATAGAAAAATAATTCATCTTGCTCTTTGGAGAAATTTCCCCCTGCTCAGCAAACACAAACCCACCTCATCCTTCTTAAAGACAAGTTGCTCAGGGAACTGCTTTCTGAGTCCTTTAAAGTCACAGAGTGTTTTATTGTCACACGGCTCTAAATAAATCAGCTTTTTTTCCCTAGTATAACATCCAGACAGCAACAAGATTCTTATTTTGTGCCTGCTTCAGCATCCAGTTGGGCAAATCAATTGGTTCTTTGTGAGCGTCTGGAAGCTTGAGAATATTTTTTTTTATGAGTGATTTCTTTGATTTAGGAGTGATGGTTGAATAACCAGAGGCCTTTCTTCTCAGCAAGAGAGTTAGAAAAAAAAAGCATGGAACCCTCAATTAATTGATATCCAATGAGCCAATGAGTGTGCTTCGTGGCTGCCTTGAGAAATGCTTCGGTTGCTTAATTTACCTCAGAGAAGGCAAATGGTAAATAGGTCCCTTCAAGACAACTCGAAAGGGATTACTGTGGAACGCTGGGTAGTTTCCCCGTGGACAAGACTTTCAGTATAGTATGCATACAAACAGAGGGATGCTTTATTGCAGCCAGACAAGACCCCCATTCATAGTGGAGGCCAGAAGCTCACACATGTAGAAACCTCTGCCTGCAGCCTCTGTGAGAACCTCCCTGCCCAGAGCCACACTGGGTTCTGAAACCCTGACTTTCAGGATCCCCAGCAGCTGGAAGACAGTTCTGGGCTTGGGGATGGAAAGACCTGGGGAGAAGCAGCTGGGTCCTTTGGACCTTTCTGCTGTGTGTCTGTGCAAGGAGTCACAGGCCTTTCCTCTTACTCTGCTTTGTAGCAATAGCCATAAGCAGGTGAGCAGAGGCTAAATGCCAGTATACCGTGTGTGAGTGTGAGTGCGTGCGCATATGCGTGCGTGCCTGTGTGTGTGAGTGTGTGCATGCGTGCCTGCGTGCGTGCGCTTGTGCATTGTGTGTGTGCGTGCATAGGTGTGTGTGTGTGTGGTGAGATATCCACCACGCCCGGACCTGTAGTGTTGACCACGCCCATTTAGGCATGGTTACAGGTGAGGATGTGACAGGGAGTGAGTTTAGGGCTGGGGTCCTGTCAGGTGGCTGTCTCTTGTGTCCAGTCAAGTCACAGGATTCTTAGAGCGGGAACCTGCGGTGGCCATTTACTTCTTGTGTAAGTAACGTCTCCCCGAAATCAATTATATTTAATGTATATTTTAACCTAGTCCCATAAATCATTACCAGTGCCTCCACCCACAAAGAAAGTCCTGATCCACTGTGGGGCCAGAAATGCAAGGGACTTAGGCCCTTCCTGTAGGGTTTTAACTCATAGTTCGTGGTATGTTATACTTGGCGTATGTGACCCTTTCTCAGACAAAACAAAAATAAGAAGCGGGTGAAGTTTGCTGTGCCAGATATTGTTAACTCTGCAAATCTAAGGTTGCACAGGCAGAGACTAACTGTCCGTAGAGGAAGGAGCAGAGTGCAGAGCAAGTTCCCTTTTGGATTAAATTGACCTTTGACACCCGTTCTTTTGCTGCTGTGTCCTCTAGAAGGACTGTGTGTCTTCAGTCCTGCTCACGGATGCAGCCTTCTTACATGCATGCTCTGCACATTGCCTGGTTTGGTTTCCAGGTGTGCCTTAGACATCTTTCCCGGCACTGTGCTGCTCAAAATGAAACCTGGAAGCATCTTTGGCCTTTTCTCCCCTTCCCTTTCTTTTCTCTCCTCTCCTCCTCTCCCGCCTCACCTCCTCACCCTCATATACTCTTTCTCCTCCTTTTCCTCACTTCCCTAACTCCTCCCCAACCGCCCCTGTCTCCATCCTGACCTCCTCTCCCCTTTCTTTCTCTGTGGGTCAGTTCTCCTGGAACTCACTGCAGAACATATCTCCTTTGGCTCCTCTGGCACAGCTGGTAGGAGCCTCTGAATCCCCCCACACTGACCTTGCTGAGCTGGCTCCTTCTCAGCTGTCTTTACCCTGCTTCCTCATTCAGTCAATCCTGTCTCGCCCTGCAGAGACTGTGAGGGACAGCGCCCTTCCAGTGCAAGGCTTTACCCTTGCTCCATCACCAATGGCTCACAGGTACACACGTGGGCGTGCTTACATATGTGTGCAGATATGCACATGTGTGCATGCTTGCACCGAGGCTGCAAAGGTTTAGCAGGGCCCGTCCCACCATTTAAGAGATTGTCATCTGCAGAGATGACCCTTGGGCAATCAAATTACAAAATAAAACTGAAAAAGAAAACCCTCATCATGTTTGTGGTAAGTATGGTTTGTGTTGAGCTGGCATGGCTATCCTGGGGTACACACAGATCCAGAGCTCTGGGTTGGATGTGCTGGAAAAGGGGCCAGTGAAGTTTTCAAGTCTATAATCTCCTCACAAGCCTGGTTATTTTAGAGATTGCCTTTATTTAATAAGGAGTGATCACATATAACCCTTTTATATAGAGATGTGCATATATTTGATAAAAGGAATTCATGAGGTCGTTTCTGCATGTTTTCTGCTTAAGCTTGGCTTTTGGGGGCTTTTATATTTGTGGCTGCATCCATGTTCATACGAAGGGATAAATTTATTAGACACTACTGGAACTGCCTACTTGGAAATGAGAAGTCTCACTCCACAATTTATTATATTTGCTCCTTGGGACAAACAAAAGTGGATTTTGTTAATTACTAGAATGGTCATGGGTAGACTTGGGGTTCCATGTTGTGTAGAATTCCTTTTTTAAAAGATTTTTAAATGTATTTTATGTATATGAGCATTCTACTTGCATGTATTCCTGCATGACAAATGAGGGCATCTGATCCTATTATAGATGGTTGTGAGGCACCATGTGGTTGCTGGGAGTTGAACTCAAGACCCTTAGAAGAGCAGCCAGTGCTCTTAACCGCTGAACCATCTCTCCAGCCCCCTTGTGTAGAATTCTTAAGATGGCTCAACTCAACTCCAGTGACACCTGCCTGTGTCTCAGCAGGAGTCCAAGTATGGTTGGGGGACGGAGGGTGTAACCAACATGTACATTGTTGGTGTCTGCAGAAGGGTTATGAAAATTGTCAGGGCTCGTTGGGATCCGTACATGTGGAGAGGGCTGAGCCCCCGCACGCTGTGTGTGCTGTTTCATCCCTGGCTCATGTTGCTCGAGATCGGTGCTGGATACTCTAGTCACAGTCCTTGCCTCAGGACTGTACGCTAGAGTATGCATTCATGACAGACAACCAAGGAAGAGACACCTGCACTTAAGAAAAAAAGAAGATCAAACTTTATTGCTCTTCATGTATTTCTCTTTACTAAATTAATAAGCAAATGAGAGATAACCTAAAACACTTTCACCACTGCTAATAGTGTCGGCAGGCAACTTATCTTTAAAAATGCAAATGAGGGGCGGGGAGATGGCTCAGTAGTTAGCAGCTCTTGCTTTGTACCAGAGCTTTGTTCTTAGCATCAACTCTAGGCAGCTCACGACTGCCCATAACTCTAGTACTGGGGAATCTGTTCCCTTTTTCTAGTCTCAGTAGATATCTGCAGGTATAGGTACATGCACATATGCACAGACACACATGCACATATCTGTCCATAAATAACAAAATGCATTTAAAATACAAATGATTCATCACTAAATAAGCCATCTTTATAGGATACATGCATTGTGTGCTCCCCATTAGCACATGTTAATTATACATAGTAACAGGGTTCATTGTGACATTTCCACACGTGTGTGTATCATGTATTTTGACCATATCCATCCCATTTCTCTCTCCACTCTCACCAATCTTTCTGCCCATCCATCTCCCTTGTACTTCCGTGTCTTATTTGTGCCCATTTTCCAGGGTAGCTGCAACAGGCTTTGAGATTATGAGCTTTGGGAATGAGGGAGCCAGTGGGCTTTGCATCCTGAGACATGGAAGAAAAGGGACACAGGGCTCTTGGCTCTGAGCCCAGGCAGAGTTTTGCATCTGGCTGGCCTTCGCAAAACTCTTCTTGATGCAGCTCAAAAAGGCTGCTATCACCAGTGCACTGTCTGAGCAGAATATCTCTTTCCTGTTAGCGGTTGCAATGCTATTTCTAGGCTCTTCTTATGTGGGGACTCCAGCAGCAAGGTACATCTCTAGAAGGAATGTGTCATCTTTTATCTGAAGAGTCAGAAGTTATTGCCAAGTGAAGGTGGAGAATAGACTAGTAGCCTGGTGGTGGTATTTTCTGGAATTGGCATAGTTAAGCTGTTCAAGGCCAGTTGTATGCAGGTGAGAGGCTTAGGAGTAGGGGTTAGGGCTCTGCTGGAGAAACAGAGTGAGTGTTAAAAGCCTCTGCCTTGAGCAATCTGCTCATGAGTGTTGCAACCCTAGCACTGGGAGGCAGACAGAAGGCTCCCAGGGTTACTGTCCACCAGCCTTGGCAAAACTTCTGGTTAAGTGAGAAACCCTGCATTTAAATTAAAGAATATTAAAAAAAGATGTGATAGTGATTTAAGAAAGACATCTCATGTTGTACCGATGCTTGATGACGTTCTCAGACAGCTGTTTACCCAGCCTCCCATTGGGCTTGGCGACGGGAAGATCAGTATCAATTCCCTGGTCCTTCTTAGCATCCCAGCCTTGTCATCCTGCAGCTATTCTTGCATTGACCTCTTTCCATTCTCTTGCTTCCTAGGTACCTTGTGCTCTGCTGAGTCTGGAGTGCCCAGGGTTCCCTTTCTCAGCTGGAGTGGTCCTAGTATAGAGACCTCTTTCTTCTACCTAAGAGAAGAGGCAGAGGCACCTGAATCTTCATAAGCACCACGGGACCCCAAGACCTGGCTGGAAGATACCTCCTGTCCTCGCCTCTGCCCTCCTCACAGGTACCTTTGGACTCTGGAAAGGGAGGCTTAGAGACCGTCCCTAATGGCTGTCAAAGTCTCAGTGCCGGGGGGGCCGGGACAGTTGCCTCAATTGAACTTTCTACCCCTGAAAAACCATGGCATTCCTTGTGGGGCTCTCCTGGATGAATTTTAAGGAGTACTGTAGTTGCTTTTATACATCTGCATACAGTTACATTCATGCCGTGTAATGTGTATGACGCTCATTGGCTGCTTATTTTCACAGTGTGAAGCCCATGTCGCTAATCTCCAGCTGGAGCTAAGTGACAGGTTCAGAAGACTGTCGCCACTCATGTGAAACACCGGGTGGTCTCCTGTGTTCATTCATGCTTTGGCAACATAAAAAAATGTGTTCTCACGTGTGCCTGGTGCTCTGCTGACACGGCAACACCTGGACTGAGTCTCGCTGTCTGTCAGGTGGAGGTGTGAGGACAGGGACAACCGTGGGGAGACAGCACGTCTAGCTGATGGTGTGAGGAAGTGAATTATGATACCCGATAAGACGCAGATGTTATAGAGAGAATAAAATGTAGGGAAATCTTTATAAGTGTATACGCAACAGTTTTTATGGGTGGCCATGGCTTTTTAAGTGGGTGGGATTTGAACTCAGATCTCAAGGAGCTGAATGCATTAGCCACTTAGCACCTGGGCAAGAACATTGCTGAGGGAAACAAATTGAGGTCACCAAGGCCTGAAAGCACCCTAGCAGCTCGCAGACGCTCTGTGGAAGACAGGGTGTCTCGAAGGGATCCTGGGAAAGTCAGGGGCAGGCTGGGTCCAGAGATGACAGGAATCTGGATTGTCTGACATGGCAGCCATTCAGAGACTTCAGGCTGCATCATGGGAAACCTGCGCAATTTTATTCAAGCAGAGGAGGAAGGAAATCTGCATCCCACCTAAGTAGACTCACTTTGGCGGCTGTGGCAGAGTAGACCCAGAGAGTGAAGGACAGAGGTGGAATCTGTGAGGTTTTCCCAGACACCACTAGAAGAAACCAATGTGGCATCAAGACAGTGCACAGTGGCCCTGTGTCTTGCAGGCACAGAAGGAAGAGAGAAAAGTGGGCACTCACTAGGTTTATCTTTAAAGGCAGAGCCTACAAGATGTCATGAGAAAAAGGAAGAGGTTGATGAAGGCACTAAATATGTCTTCATACAACTGGTCAGAGAGGGAAAGGTCTGACTGGAAAAGGTTTGGATTCAGGAAGGGACTAGAAAGGGTTTTTTGTAGACATGTTAAGTCTGTAGTGATTATGGGACACCCCAGTGAGGACGCTGCACTGGCCACTATCTGTCCCCAAAGCCGATGATAAAAGATCCATCCACGCTGAGGTAGAATGAGTGGGATTCTGACCCAGTGGCTGCTGCTGAAAGGAATAAGATGAGATATGCCCAGTGAGGGAAGAATTTAAAAGTTGAGCTGTGGGACCTTCTAGCTTCACAAGGGGCATGAGTGGGGAGGGTTGGCCGGTGAAGGAGACCCGCGGGACACAGCCAGGCAGGAAGGGGAAGCAAGGGCTAGCCACTTGAAGGCATTTCCAGAAGGAGCCACCAAGATCTGTGTCCAGGTGTTCATGGGCGGGGTTAGGTGAGTCAGACAGATGGATGCTGGGATTGAGCCTTCTGGGTCACCGGTGATGCTAGGTGGTGGTTGGGAATGGTGGCTGTGACCGTGCCGGCAGGAGTGAAGGGGACAGCTGGGGACTGCTTTGAGCCCCTTTACTGCAGACAGAGCATAATTTGCGGTGCAAAGCTCAGAAGAGATACTTATTTTTAGTCGGAAACAGTCTCCCTGATCTGTGTGCCACTGGGAGTTACTGCGTCTGGTGACGTCTCCAGCACGCCGCTGAAGCCCTTCTTGTCTCTGGCTGAGGAGGCGCTGGGCCTTACTGTGGGGAGGCTGTGTGAGGGACATGTGGCTATGCTGTGTCCTGGGAGGAGGGAATCTACAGGTCTGCAGGTGTGCCCCTTTGTGATCTAGGAAAGCAGGTCATCCTCTATGGCGGTCAATATTGACAGGATCTAGAATCACCCAGGAGACAGATGTCGGGGCATGTGTGTGAGGGAGTCTCCAGTTTGGGTTAATCGAGACAGGCACACTTACCCTAAGTGGGGATGGTGTCATTCCCATGGGTCTTGAACTGAGCAAAAGAGAGAAAGCCGGTTGGGCGTGGCACTCGCGTGCATCTCTCTCTGCTTCTAGGTTTCAGATGCAATGTGACCAGCTGCCTCATGTTCCTGCGGCAGTGAGCAAAACTAGTAAACCTAGATGATCCCCTTGGAGATTGGGGGACACATCGTAGGTCACGAGCTGAGTTGTCGTTGGCTGGACAGAGAGGGACAAAATGAGAGAGACGGGAGTTGCAGGCATGCAGGAGAGATGGGGAGTGTCCTCACAGTGGGGGCCCAGGCTGCAGTAGGAAAAGAACTGAGCCTGATGATGGGGGCCAAAGGGGGGTTCCAACCCTGGAAGCCGGGACTTAGAGGAGGTGAGTGTGGGCGGCACCAGTGATCCTGTGAGAGATGAGGGACCTGAGTCTCTTGGTGTGTTTGCAGAAGTCAAAATCCAAGGTCCCTTCTCTGAACCCCATAATCTAGGGCGTTCTTCTGCCATGCATGTCCGTGATTTGTCTGCTTCGGGGACCTTCCATACCTACCCATGTTATTTTCTCTGCTGGGGACAGTGGGACTGGCAGCAGGTGTGTGTTGATGCATTTCTTTGCTCAGTACCATAATAAGGCATGTGGTGGCATGGCATCCAAGGTGACTTTTCCAGGGAAAGCCCCACTTCCTGTCTGTTCTTTGCAACACAGTGTTGTAAGCTTTTATCTTCTCATCAACACTGTGGGTCATTGCAGCCCTGTCTGCAAGGAACTTACGGGACCAGAGAATCAGGCTCTTCCAGATGTGGGGGTAACCATCAGAGAGCAGACCCAAAAGCTTTCCAAGGCTGAGTGGATTTGGTGTTCTGTCCAGCATCCGCCCACACACCCACCTCCTAGGACATTTGTTTAGGAATCTGTCTCAAATTCCAAAAAAGCATGAAATGGTTTCATACTCAAAAAAAAAAATCAGGCTAAAGAAATCAAAATGCCAGAAACTGACATTCTGGCCTTAGTGAAGATTATTTATAAATGTTTAGGGTTAAAATGACAAGGCTCAGATGTCTCCAGATAATCTCAGTACACACATCTGGAGTGGAAGTAGCGGGGCAATATATAAATTTCTGCTTTTGTTCGGATTTGCTTCCCTCTTCCCCCAATTTGGAAAATAGTCTTCATTTTTAAAAGGGGTGGGGCAAATCTGGCTGAGAAAGTTTGGCTGGGCTTCGACCATTCCTCCGCCTTGGGAGCAGCTGGAATTGAGAGAGCCACATCTGATTATTCTAGTTCCCTGCTGCTGTGCAGTGGGCTTCATAGCATATGGTGTTAAGGAAGCTGTGAATCTCCAGATAGGCAGGTCTCGGTGTCCTGCTTCTGTGGGCTCAGGGACATTGACTTGGAGATATGAGATCGTCACACTATTTTTTTGAGATGGGGTGTCTTCTGACTAATCTGAAGCTTGATGTTACAGTTGGGATGTCTGGCTAGTGAGCCTCTGGAGTCTGTCTGCCTCTGCTCTTAGCACTGGGACTAGGCACACCATGCCCAGATTTTCATGGGTGTCGGGGAATTGGTATTAGCAGGTGCTTACAAGTGCTCTTGCCCACTGAGTTAACCCCAGTGTTCTTGTGGTTTTTTATGTGACTTCATTGTGGGAACTTTGTGGGACACACCTGCAGATAGACACAGGGTAGTGATGGTACACTTGGAGCTTCTGTCCCAGGAGCAACCTGAAGAGCAGGAGAGGACCCAGAAGGAGAAGCTGAGCATGTGCTGAATGAAGATTAATGTGTCGTTCCTCTGACTTTAAAACTACAGTTGCTTTTATTATCCCCCCAAGGCCAACAGTAGAATTTCGTAGATGCACATTCACACCGACAGAAGCACTGCACAGCCATTTCCCATATTCACTGCATAAGTAGCTTCCCACTTTAGCCCCATTTACTATAGCCACATCAAATATAAATGAGAAAGCCATTAGTATCTTGGCCTTGTCATATGCTTCAGAGTGGATAGCATAATTCAGTCACTGCAACCTCATTTTAATCCTGACTTTATTGCTTATAATAATCACTGTACGAGTTGTGCCCAACTTCTCGGTGTTTTAGAGCCTCCATCTCTAGCACACGTATTATACACATGGAATAGATAATAAAAATGAAACATTTGAATTTGAAACTTAGGTGTGGCTGCTTCTGATAGAGTATAGGTATAATGGAGAGGTTCGAATGCAGTCTTCTTCCGCTTAGATTTCTGGGATGGCCAAAACACCCAAATTGTATTCACCAGCTTATCATTAAAGAAATTTTGTAATAAAATCACAATCACAAGCTGAATCCCTGCCCCCAACCTCTTCCAGTGTGTATTCGACCTGAACAGTATGTGTTTAAGAGCCAAGTCATGTATGCTACTGGGTTACTTATATACTTCCCATGCAACCTCTTCCAGTGTATTCGACCTGAACAGTATGTGTTTAAGAGCCAAGTCATGTATGCTACTGGGTTACTTATATACTTCCCATGCAACCTCTTCCAGTGTATTCGACCTGAACAGTATGTGTTTAAGAGCCAAGTCATGTATAATACTGGGTTACTTATATACTTCCCATGCAGCCGTTTGATATCTTCAACTTTCTTTCTGTTGCTATGGCAAAACAATCTGACCAAAAGCAACTTAAGGGAGGAAAGGGTTTACTTTACCTTGTACCTCCAGGTCACAAGTTCACTACTGAGGGAAGTCAGGGCAGGAGCTCAAGCAGGGACTTGAAGTAGAAACCATGCCACAGCTGGCTTTTTGTGTGGATTCTGGGATCTGAACTCAGGTTCAATGCTCTTCCCCACTGAGCCATCCCCTCCACTACCCAGCCCATGTTCTAGTTTAA